CACGAGAGTCTCTCAATTTCCCAGTTCAGAGGCTCGCTGAATCACTTCATGACTTTTCCCAATGCAATCCTTCTTACCGGCCAAACCGTCACCGAAGAGGTGGCCTACGAAAACGGGTTTGATTACTAGGATTATTGCACCAGAACTTTCATTTATCGCCCGATGACGAACGCCAGTGCAACATACGTCCACGTTCCTGTGCATGATAACAATTTTCTTTAGCGCATCACTACTGATGCCCTAGCGATTCTTTCTGCATTCTTCCTTAATTGCTCTTCAGAACTTCTAATTGCGTGCAAACAATTTATCCTTTGAAATGCAGACGCAAGAGCCCACCCGGTTTACGCTATATTGCAAGCCCGAAGTAGTACTTATCAACCCTACGCTATTTAAACTCTCGAATTTAAACCCAGACCAAAATATGAAATGTGCCACTGACCGTTCATATCAACCCAACGAGTGTGCCAGTCACATTCGCTCACAGTCTGTTATTTCAAACCTATCTTATCGCATTGTTGCCAAACTGCTTTCTGCGTAAGCAAACGGTACTGAGGGTTGTCATTTCTAACTGCTCTAAACCGTGAGACCCTAGGTCTTTCATTAGCATCCGTGCGATGCCATGCCAACGTGGAAAATTATAAATCCTTTGGGATGCATACACCGTTACCAAACTAATGTGCGCAACTCCGTTAGTCTGCAGCAGTATAGCACAATTCCATCGCGAGCCTATTTTTACTTAGAATGTGGAGTTGGTGCCATTGACTGCTCAAATGGAACTTCATCCATGCTTCACTCACACAGACGTAAACAGTCCATTATCTATTGTCTTCATATATCATAATAACCCACAGCTGAAACCACGTCCAGACTGCAACCCCCCTTTATTTCAGGTCTGTTGTCTCCCACTATCGCAGTCACCAAACCGGATAACCAAGGACGCCACTTTGACTCGTACGGACAGAGACTCAAGTAGAACCTACCATAGCAACTGGGACCAAAATCAAGCCACCCGGCAGGAAATACTCCCAATTCAGCTTTTTCTAAAACAACCAACACACATTCCAGTTTATGCGCATCTTGCTAATATACCACCACACTCAGCCGATTGACCGACACATACTTTGCCCTGCTAGACGAAACATACCCATATGATGTCGTACGTTACCAGAAACGACGCTGAATATCACTGAAGGCAAATGCGTCAACATATATATATATATATACATATATATATATATATATGTTAGTAAAACAGCATATTAACGCTCAAGTCCATGCGCAGATCTCACACTTTATTATCCGTTACCACAGTCCACCTTTCCTCCGAACCGTAGCCGGTTGGAATCTGACTCTCCACTCCTCGAGGACCTTCCAGTTGCGTTTTCTCATTTCTGAATGGTACATGTTACTGCTCCTGAATCTAAACTCACCTTTTTATGGACTGCTGTTTCTCCCACATCCACCAGTGTTCACTTTCACGAAATTGGTCTCGGCACCTTTTCGACACTCATTCCATTTGTTGAACTCCGGTAAATCCGACATTCAGGGTCTGCATTGTCTTCATGGATCGCTATCCTCTCCGCATGCACCGATTTTCCCGAGAACACTTCCTTACAATATTTTTTCTTCCTTTTCTTCTTGTTCAAAATTTACTCCATCTGTAGAACCTTAGCAGGCCTCCGTTTCCCAGCTTGCATCATTCTCGTTCATAATGCGTCCTTGACACTGCGCCGACGGTTTTCCGACATCTCCACCGCCCGGAAGTACGGCTCTAGTCCAGCATACCCGGTGTACAGCACACGTCCGTTGATGGGAAACGAAAGCTTAGATGGTATTGACGGCTAAATTGTTATGGTAATTGGCATGAAAATTCCCATATGGTTATTACTCGGTTTGAGGGTGTTTTGTTTAATGAAGGTATTTATGTTTGTATCCTGAAAGGTGATTGGTTCATCGGTAATATATAAGCCTGAGCGCACTGGAATTCGCTGTTATTTCGTTGCGTGTTGTGCTGTCGCGTTGCAAATGGAGCGCGTACCAGTGGACGATTCAGTTGTGTTTCGGCGTTTGGTCCGTAGTGTATACCCCGATATCGACGCATTCCAAGCCGATTTTCGGGAGTTTCAAAAAGAAACTTGCACGTCTTTCTTCGTGTACAGTTCCGAGACGTACGCAATGGCCAAAAAAAGAGGCATCCATCTGCCAGATGGTGTGCCTTATTATTTCAAAAAGTACTGCTGCGTTCACCGCTAAAGGAAATGTGATAAGTCGTCCAGGTATGTTATCATTTATCGGTAAATAAATCCCTTTCAGGTATCCTAATTTGGAATGCGGGGCGTTCGTCACGCTTCGATTTGCGGGTTCCTGTTACTGTGTCGTCAGTTGGTCGATGAAGCATTCGCATAGTTTTCAAGTAGGGAATGAGGGATTTTATGTACGAAATCGTAGACTGACACCTGAGCAGGATGCTCATGTGTTGCAACTGATGGACACTTTCAGAAAGAAGTCTGAGCTAAGGGAGTATACGTTTAAGAAATTCAACCGGCGTCTTAATAATGACGATTTCAGGTCGATAAGAAGAAGAATGAACAAGAGAGACTTAGTAAGTGAAGTGGAGGAGGTTCAAAAATTGCTGCAGGCCCATGGTTATTCGGAGATAATTTCCGATAACCGTGAGATAAAGTTTATATTCTTCGTCCCTTCTGTAAGCAAAGAGTTATGTCCTAGGTTCAGCGACGTTATTTTGGCAGATGCTACTCACCAACTCAACCGTGGTGGGTACATTCTATGGCACACAATGGTAGTTGATGGGACGGGGTTAGGTCGCAGTGTGTTCTATGCCATTCTCCCAAATGAGAGTGGTGACTGCTATCGTAAGGCTGTTCATTTTATGAGAAAGATGCTCCCTGAAACCGGTACTTGTAAGACAATCGTAGTTGATAGGAGCTTGGCGCAGTTTAATGCGTTCACGGATATCTATCCAGAATCTCGTGTGTTATTTTGCCGTTTCCATGTCATGCAAGACATGAAACGTAGATGCAGCCGCCTACATGGAATACAATCCTGTGAAAAGCTACGCATCTTTCAGTGGATGCGTAATCTAGTGTTAGCTCAAACTAGGCTTCGTTTTGAGAGGTTTAGGGCAGCAATAGAATGTAGGAGCAATGAGGCGGCTGCATACCTGAGTAACACCTGGATACCACTTAAGCAGTTTTGGGCTGGATATGTGACACGTGATGCATTAGTGTTAGGCAATTTTACCACTAACAGGGTAGAAACGGAAAACAGGCATTTGAAAGATGGCCTGTCCAACCGTTCAAACATCCTGGACGTATTCAAAAACGTAGTCAAGCGTGTTCAGTCGTTGACTGAAAAAAGCCGTCATAGGGTTGCTAAGGATCAGATGGCTTGTTATAGGGCACCAGATGGGATGCAATGGTTTCAACCCTTGCTTAAGAGATTGACGAGTTACGCACGTCATTTGTTGCTAGAGCACTTGCGTCGAGAATTTGTACAATCCATAGAGCAGATCAACAGCGTATGGTGTGTAGTAAATCGCAGGGGTGTCACGCACCACGTTAGTCTAAACGGGGATGTGAAGTGTGATTGTTCGTTCAGTCACCAGTGGGCACTCCCCTGCAGGCATTTGTTAGCAGTTTGCAAGGAAGCAAACTACCCAGTTGGGGAAGTCTCGTTGGGCCGATGGTCACTCAGCGGAAACATTTCCAGCAGCTTAGTACACCTTCATTCCGTTGAGGTTGATCAACAAAGATCACCGATAACGGCTAAAAGTGATCGCTTATCAGAGTCCGAATTTCTGGCCAAAGATACAGTTGTAGCTTTAAGTATGCTAGGGGAGAAAGATTACAGGTATTATTTGAAACAGTTGGGCTTCCTAAACAAGATTCTGGCTTCATGTCCTGGAACGAAAATTCTGTTCCAAGCTCCAAATAGCGAGACGCCGGTTGCAGTTGAGTGTGATGCGGACATATCCAAGATGGCCGCAGCCGCAAAGAGGAAAACAGCAGTTCTAAATGTTGCAGTTGCCAGCACTAGTCACGACCCTAGTGACCAATCTCAAGCTGTCACGTATGAGGAAGGTAAGTCCGTGCGTCTGTCATCAAAACGGAAATCCGTTTTGACAACAAGGAACATAGCCAATGAAGATCTAGAAATTTCAGGCGACCAACTGCACTCAGTGGCCTTCCGAAGGTTCAAAGTTACAACGTCCACTGTATACAAGACAAATTGTAAAAGACGACGTCTGCAAGTGGATTACTCGCCAATTCGTCAGGACGTCTGCAGCGTCTGCAAAAACAGTGAACCAAACGTGGATTTAGACGAGGACATTCAGTGGGTCCAATGTGGAACCTGCGGACGATGGACACATTTCCGGTGTGCGGCATTTCATAACGAAGAGAACTACCGTTGCGTACACTGCATGGCCCATTGACACCGACGCCGCAACACGTGAACGAACCCAAGGCCCTTTTCAGGGCCACGCCATTCTGATTACCATTTTCGTTGCTTTTTTCTTAGTATGTCAACTTAAGTAGTTGGCACATGAGTCTTCCTTTATGTGCGCAACTCCGGGATGTGACTCGATATTGAATGTAGATAAATATGGATTTACAGTATACAATTATTACCCTTTCGATTTCCAATATTTAAGACTGGAAATACAGCATTCTTTATCAGCCAATGGCGTCAACTGTTCACTGTTGATTCTTGTGAACCGCTATATAAACCACTACAACTGTCGCTTGTAGACTCAGGGATTAGCACGGGAGATAATGTCACACAGCGAGCCGTATTACATGTACTGATAGATACACCTTATTGATGGGCAAAGTAAACGTACGAAGCAGTATCCGTAACCCTTTACAGCACCGGAGGCCTTGTAGTAAGCCACTTTAAAAAAGGAAATCATGTGAGATAATATTCCCACATGATTTCATTTGGAACTGCCTTCCAGTCCGCCGCCGTTGCTACAAACAGTTATGGAAGCTGCTTCGTAAGTTTATGTTTCCATTCAATAACCTTTTCCTATCAGTGCATCAAATACGGCTCAATGCGAGACATCATCGCCCGTGCTATTCCGTGAGTCGATCATAGGTTGATCGCGGCCGTAGTGGGTACGTCGATACAATTATTAACACGAAACAACAGACGCAATGCGTGGGACAGAACGATTTGCAGATGAACCCACGTCTGTCATACAGAGGCACATTAAGCGTTCGTTTATCAACGCTGGGGATCGAGGCTACGCCGGTACGTCGTTCTTTGATTTTTTGTTGTTGTGTTCATTCATTCAGGGTTTCTCCGTAACCATTGCTTCATTTTAAACTGATGGTGCAGAATGTCATCCACCAATATGCGTATGGAACTATGAATTGGTGACACGGTTTATCTATTACAAGTAGACGCTGCCTCGTATAATGTTAAATAACAGAACACGCATAATTTTGTGTGCAGTATATACGTTTCTGAGTTAAACTTACAAAATCAGGTTGTTCCATTTTTTTCGAACGGTTATTACGTCACTTTCCACACTTTCATTTTACAGATCCCGTGAACAGCAAGAAGACCCAACAACATTCCGTGAAATACAAGAATGACCAACAACGAATGTCGGAATTTTATGTACACTTTTACCGCCTTTTTATACAATAAATCTATCCTTATTCTTCTACAAATGGCAGTTTCCCTTGTTCATACATATAAAGGCAACTTAGTGGTTGAACTGAAAACGTGGGGGAATATTGTTTAGCCGATTCTGCAGTGAAACGAAATCCGCGATTTTCCTAGAACGTTGGGCATGCCCAACCCTAGCCCAATTGGGCAGTGCTTCTTGGGATGTCATGTAAAACAATTAACCTGTGCATATAGCACTGACGCTGTTCTGCTGACTTTTCATAGCGTCACCCGATGGAAAGGAAAACAGCGTTCTCGATTCCAACAGTGAGCCACCGTAAGTCAGGTATATCATTGACACATGATTCAAAAGCATCCTTTTAATATTGCGATCTACAGAATATCCCTAAATGGACCCCACAAAGCACAATAAAGAATCAGCATAATGACGGCATTACCTCCTTCTTTTATAGCCATATATATATAGTTTTAACTAGTAAAATACCGCCCTAGGTTAGCCATATCCCTCCGACATAAGTTCAAAACACTCTAAATGAAAGTGCAAAGAACTTCAGCATAACAGATGTCATAGAATACATAACAAACATATAACAGTGCACAGGAAATATATGACATGCATAAAATCTTAACATAATGCCTATTGTAATTATAATTACCTGGTATATATATATATATATATATATAAACAGGATGCTCCATTTGAACTCATTTTAGATAACATCAATGGCTAGGAATTTGCCCTTATAAACCAAAAACATGCACCTGTTCACCTACACAGAACTGGACAAATTATGAAAAACAAATCGCCCGCTTGTGACGGACAATAGAAACCACCATAGAAACGGCGGTACTTCAAATTCCAGTGCTGGACTAGTGCCGCCTTACCCCACCGCCCAGTCCGGATTCGAAACCGGTTTGAAACTGCCGCGCAAACCATTAGTAAAGTGATCCATTCAAACTGTTGCTGGCTATGTCTATCTATCGCTGATACTCTCGACTTTCATACTTTGAATTTGTGAATATTCCACCTTATTGAGTAACGTGTCACACCATGATCATGGGCTAGCGCGTGCGTCTCGACCATGGCCGAGAAATATACCATTATCATTTATCATCATCATCATTTAATGCCGCAAAACCTCTGAAGCCTCCAAAAATTATTTCCCACCTAAAGCCTTATACTCAGCCCGTGTTAACGGATAAGACTCACCCATTTCTGGGCCCAAACACCAACCTGTAAATTCTTCCGCTGCAACTTGCAATGAAGAGATTAAAGAACTGCTTTCCTGGTTCTCATCTAACTTATCCCGCCTTACGCAGATTTTTCGACTCCTGGGCGCAGCTCTAGCCCCGAGTCTGCTACTGGCCATGTTATTCGGGGCAGTTTTCAAGGCCCCCTCTTTTACTACCATACACAAACGATGTATTTTCGACAATACTAATTATTAATACTATTGACACGCATTTCTTGTTTGCGGAAGACATTGAGGAAATGTCCGCTCTTTCTCCCGACATGTTAAATACTACCTTCTCTCAAACCCCGCCGACTTATCTGTTCTCGGGGGATGGTATACAACCTAAGAGAATGAATTTTCTGCCGACAGGTGTCTTTTTCCTGCTCACAAAGGCCGGGTTCCTCCAGGTTTCTTATACATCTGCGGTTCTCTTACTGAGAGCCGGCCCATAGTAAGAGACCTTGGTCTGGAATTTTCTTGTTCTTTTAACTTCTTCGAACATACTTTCTTCCAGAAAGCGGGGGCCGAAAGATATCTCGGTCTGCTTTTCGGGTAGCTTTGGCCTAAAAATGGCACTCTTCAAGTGAACAACATCATGCCGGACACCTTCCCGTATACTGACCTTCAATCTTCTCTAGAATACGTCAATCTGACGGAGATGCCATTGGATTTATTCGGAGGAGGTTCACGGAACACGTTTTTGAATGTTCGACGCAAATACATCATAGAAAACGACACCCTTATCTCAAAATCGAACCATTTTGGCTTTTTCGCATCAAGCTCAACCTGCATTTTCCGCAAAAGTTATCGACTAAAGAATGTTAACTCTCCAACCAGTTATGTCCCCCTGATGCTGCGTATTTACCTGGTTATAGACAGCGTATCAATAACACATCCCCGGCGAGGACCTATCTAAGCTCAAAGTTCGTTATCTTTACATACTCTAGATTCTAGGATAGACTCCCTTTGAACGTTAGATCTTGTCGATCAAAGACCGCAGTCCTGAAAAAAGTAGATCAACTCCTTTCCGTTCCTGCTATAATGCGCTCATTCAGCGTTCACAAAACAAACGCCAGGCTCACGGAACAGGCCCCGATTTTTGAATCTCAACTTTCCTTTTCCGAACAACCATGCCTACCAAGAAAGCGTGAAAATTTCCTTATCATGGCTGACCTTTTTAAAATTAGAGGTGCTCCTTTTTGTTGTCCATTATAAAATTCACTGCCAAAATATTTGCAACGTCCTTATGCCCACTGATTGCTGTCCCCCAATTACTTCATCATCCCCACAAAGTTCATTTTGAAGTAAGTCCGTCAACCTGCGTTCTTATTTCCAGAAAAGCCACTGCCGAACTTCTCAAACAGTGCCTGCTAAGGAATCTAAAACAGTTGTACAGTGGATATCAGTAAACCAATCACCCGTTTAGTGAGGAATACGAATTATCCAAAAGCTGTGTACTATAGGAGCAAAGTCATACAAGATACGCTCACATACCTCAATTGTGAATGATCCGGCCACAGTAGCCCGCCGTAAACAATCGACATTCTTAACAAGGAGGGTTTACCCAGGAATGTGAACGCGCAATTCGCAGAACATAATTAAAGAGCTGGGATACATACCCTCAAAACGAGCCAACCGGAGATGAGTGACAGATTGAACGCGCAAGTGAAGGTAGTTGATGTGAGATAGAAAAGGCTCTTACCGAGTGGAGAGGTCGCCACCACAAGAGGGACCGACGGGTGGCAGGCATTTACAGAATCAACAGAAGAGGGACTGTGCGGCCGATTTCCGGGTCAAAATGACTACACAGGTGTGAATCTAGTTGGCATGGCAGGGGGAACATTGGAAATTCAAACAAGCAGGCACATCTTCAGCAGAGGCAGAGGTTTCTCTGACGAATATTCAGATCGTGATAGCAGTCAAACCGGCGGGCGCACATAGTGGGGGAGCAGTCTAATCAGGTGCCGTAGGATAACATAGACCAGCAGAGGGGGATAGGCAGGGCTGGTTGGTAGGATTCAGTGTTACGATGAAGGGCGAGAGAGGGAGAGGCGGAGGGTTCCAAGAAAACTAGTCATACAGGAAGAGGTGATGCAGTGAAATAACGGATACTCATAAGATATTATTGAACGGAGGGAATTTACGCACACCGAAATATGGGACCGATGATCATGACCGGTCCGTTGAGGAGAATCGGCAACTTATCGAATAATCCTAACAAAGTCGATGCGGTTGTTCTTTGCCACTATTGATAGCCATCATTTCTTTTCATCGCTTTTGCTGTTTCGAAAGCAACTTTGTGGATTTCATAAGAATTATGTCATTTACTACACATCGGTCTACTATTGCATGTTCTGTCTGCTAACTGATAGGGAAAGCCAGGTCAACAACTCAACACATCAGATCTCTTAACTGGCTTTGCCTCCCTTCCACATTAAGTCTTACCATATAGTCCTCCGACATTTTCTCAGTAATTTTGGACTGAAACATTTAGTTACGTTTCTATCACTTGAGGTGGCCTTCTTACTGAGCTCAGCCTCCATTTATGATCCTACTCCTTCCGCACGCAAGCTATCCTGCAGCTTATGTTTTTTCAAGATTCAGTGTGGAATTTTCTTTTTGCTTTAACAGATTGGTTACTCCAGGTCCAGTCTTAACCTCGTTAGTGAATCTTTCAGGTCCTACTTTTCTAAAGTTCATCCGTTTTTCTTCTTACTTGACATAGCCTCAGATTCGCCTTAGTCCGTTCTTACGCCCGCTGTTATTAAGGTTAACCCATTTTTCACTTTCTGTGGTACCAGCTTTCCTCATTCCAGTTTTTCTTGTGAAACCCACATCCAATTACCAAAACCTCCAGGTTTAACTCTTTCAAAAATTCACCATCTTCTGGTTTTCAATGCAGCTACCTCGTCAACGCATTGCGCCGTTTCCACCTTATCCGTTCATTTTGCAAACTTCCTGCATTTGGTCTTATCCCTTTGGCTTCAAACCCGCACCACAAGTTTGCATACACTCTCGTGCCAATACCTTTACTGAAGTTCCCTAAAAACCGACCTTCCTCAAGTCTTGGTGGCTCTCGTTCTTTTGTCACCCTTGTCCCCAAGCGTCTTTCAATTAGACCAGCCGGCCACATATCAACCTTAACCTAAGTGCCCTCGCGTAGTTGATATTTCCACTTAGCTGATTACTTCCTATACGGTATTTGTCAACCCTTCGGTTGTTTCACGTTGCCCTGATATTCCCCTGGATCCGTCTCAAAATTACACTTTTCCGGTAAACGTCGATCTTTAGCCAGGCCACGCCCACGTTGTTTCTAACTCTTATTTCCTTTCTAGATTCCCAAGTTTTAGTGCTTACGCCTGAAGACGTTTTTGACCTCAGGACCGTCCACTTCCTACACGGCCGAGGCCTTGGGCTGATGAACCAAGCATTGAACTTTAGTTGCAATCTCAACGGCGTAGGGCACGCTCGAATTTACCACTTTGGACGGGTCATATCGAGGGTAATGGAAGTCTGCAACGACAATCCGGCGCAACTTATAGAGATAGTAATGCTGATGATAACAGTATATTTCAGATGAGCCTGAAACATCCTTCAATGCGTTGTCAGATGATCCAGGTGATGTCAGAATAGGAGTTTTTATGATAGAAGAATATGTGTACAAAAAGGGTTGAGGGAGATTATTTACGTAAACCAAAGAGAGGAATGGAGGGCAGCATCTCCCAGAAATTACCACGAACTTACCAGATGACAAAACCATAGCCCACTCAGAGCGCCGGCGGCCGACGGAAAGTAGGACATTAGATACGTTAACCAGAGCAGGGCTAGTTAGATGGGGCATGAACACGTATACAATCGCTAAGCCATCAGCAAAGGCGAAAGGCGTATTACGAACAATGGTGGTAAGAATATCGTTTGTATGTACGAGAAATACAGGCAAACTCAGGACACTGCCCTGAACAGTCAAGTCACTTCAAGTAACCATCTTATGCACGCCGGGAGTTTGACGTTCAGCCATCAGTCAGTACAGCCCGCGAACTCCGGCCTGAATAGGAAAAATAGCCATGCGAGAAAAGGGTCAGTGGTATAAAGGCAAGTGTTTTATCTGAAAGATGAAAATAATAGACGTGATACGACGCGTTCGCCCTGTAGGGAATCAGTAAAACTGGAGCCATTTCTTCACAAGTTGCAGTCTTGGTGGGATTTAAAGGGGCAGGTTTGCAGACCGAACATGAGCAAGACTGCATGAAGTTGTGCTTCCCATGACTCACACTTTACTGATCAGATAGGTAGCTGAAATTGCCCTAATGATCTTCTTCATTCCCCCTAAAATAACGAGTGCATGATTTATTGGTCGACAGCCAGCGGCATAGTATGTAGATTCCTTTGTGCGACGTAGGCTTATGGCCAAGAATTTCCAAGAGAATGGTAAGCCTTCAGATTGCAAACAAAGCGTGAAGGCACCTTGCAACAGAACATGATGACTAGTTTTACTTTCCAGCCAAGCGAAAGGCAGTAAACAGCCTTGTCCGGGATAAACGGATGGTGTGAAAATGTGTAATAGTTGAGTGGCTGTCTTTCAATAAATGTCGTCGCTCAAGCAGAACCGTCTTCAATCGTGGGGACGGCAGATGGAACACAACTCGCTCCTGGGATCGCAGCAGGAGCAAGAAGCGTAATGAAAGCTTTGGCTGTATCAGCACGGGGGGAAAAAATCTTGTCGCCTTGTATTATTCTTTGGGGCTTAGTTGGATGGTCGATGTTTCTGGCTTTAGGCAGTTATAGAAGACTTGGATCTTTCCTAAGTGACACAGAGTTCCAGTCTGTTTGTGGATCTAGACAACCAATGGGAATACATGGAAGAAGTTCGGCGAGGTCGGAGTAGGAATTATTTTCATCCTGCTGTGAGTCATCGTCGAGAAAGAAACCACCCCCATCGCGGTGACAGGAAGCGAAGGTAATAAATCACAGTCAGACTTCCGAGTGGATTTCTGTAAGTGGCATGGTCAATTGGTTAGAAACGGGAAAGAAGGCGGCCGCACCAGTTTTGTGATCACGGTCAAAAATGTTGTGTGACAAGAACAGTGAAACTGGAAAGCCTGTGCATGAAGGTGAGATTAGGAGTACTACTTATTCTTGTTGGAATATGCAGGTCAGGCCTTACACTGATACCTGCGCTACACCGCCGGCAGCCGCCTTCCACGTCGACAATGACCTTGCTTCTCGCATAGCGAGAATCTTTTCCCGAAGGCCTCCGAAAGCCTTGGGCTTACCTGTAATGCATTCAAGCGAAACTTCGTGGTAAGTGTTTGCTAAGGACCATAGCGGTTACATGCCTAATGCGTCTTCTGACCTCCGTCTCTATCTTCTGTCACCGTGGTAGTGGCAGGTTTGTCAGGACCAAGCTGTTTTTCCGAAAGCCATGTTTTATTTCATGAATGAAATGTTTCCAGCTGTGTTCGCAGGGTCGGATGAAAGGTACGTGTCTCATTTACTTTTCGACCACCATATGATGATAGGTTGCTATTTGACGGCGTCGGCCTCCCCTCATCTCATTACTCCGGGAAGCCAATGGATTCCTTTCACTTACTTGCAGCCTTCCATTGATAATGGTGCGCTGAACAGCCTTGGACTGGCTGAGTTATTGCGTAAACCACCTCCTCCATCACTGCGAAATGAATACCACCTATCCTTAGGGGCTTGATAAACTTGATTACAATTGTCATTACAGTCAGCTTTTCTGCGCTGATTTCCTCGCAGGGTATATAGGGAGCTTCTGTTGGGAGCCGTAAAGGATGATTATGCATCAGTTCGGGAGAGTGGGCTGGCAGGTGAGGTTTCTGAAATATATAAGCTTTTTGCCCATCTGTAGCCTTTATTGAGTGGTACTTTATTCCGATTAAGGGTAACTTCTAGTCAAAAATACCTAATCTCAAAGCCAAAGCAAGATTGACTAGTAAATTCTACGGTATGAGATTACCAAACTGTACGCGGGCAAATTATGCACAAACCTGAAGTGCACGACCACAACGGCTACCAACAAGAACCAGAAGCCAGTTTAATTCACTTGGCAAAAGATCAACACAAAAAGATGCCACGGCACACATGAGCGAGACATAAACAAGTCTTCAGATGTAGTGGTCGATATCTGCCGTGTTTATTTGGAGAAAGACGAAAACAGATCACAAATTCTAAACAGGGCAGGTGTGACAATGATTGAGGAAGATTTCAACAAGCGTACTTTGCACCGCCAGCCAAATCCTTCCATAAAGTGGTCAGTGTCCATCGGGTGGCTAGGGGGCCGATTTACGGAAAAACAACTCACGGTAATCAAGTGGAACATTGAAATAGAACCTCGCTGGAAACCTTGACGAGGAACGGAGGAATTTGGTTAACAACACGACTTACTTCGGCAAGCCTCCGGGGCCAACTCAGGTGGTAACGATTCTCTGGACGACGATCAACGCATAAGTTCTGTCCGTAACGGGTCGCGCGTATAGCCATAGAGAAATTTAAGATGTTTTCATAGGAGGAAAGTGATAAAACTGTAGAATAGACTGCGGTTAGACGTAAAGAATACATTCTTTGAACCGGAATTTCACCTGAACTACCTGACAGGAAAATTGTGTTTCACAATACCGACATTTGAGGTGTCTTCTGAGTTGGTTCGAAACCTGCTCGCGTGTAACTCTAATGCCCTTGGTTTTGGACACCACAACTATTACACTTGGCAGGGCCAGAAACAGGAGGAACTCAAAAAGCTGGAGCGGGACCACGTGTGTATTGGAGGAAGGCAACTGCGTGTGAGCGGTGTACACGGGCGAAGCTAGTGGCCCCACTAAATTCGGTAGTTGTCTATATAAACAAACTTGTTAGTATTTGCAGCTGTGTGTCGTATCACCAGCAATGCGACACCAAAGCGGGAACACTGTGGACGGACGTATGTCCTTGTAACTGCTTGGAACCACTATTATTTCAGCTTTCAAGTTGCTGGAAGTGGAGTTGACCTCTTTTGATGGGCACAGAGCAGCCCTGCGTTTATGATTGAGTTCAAACTTTTGCTCAGTACAACAATGCCGATCTTGGGCAAAGTTCTCCGTGTGTACACACTACTGCTGCCTGAGGGTCAGGGGCACCATCCTAGGATGCTTTATGCCCGATCCAGCCATGTGTTACGGGGCCTGCAGAAACCTCAATAAAGCTTTAGAAACCTTTCAGTGCGGATGATAGCTCAACTGACGGTGTTTGATCGGGGACAAAATGGGCCGTGGGCAAAGCCAAATAAGTGTCAAACCTGGGGAGGAATGTTTGGAATTTCATTATGGCGGCGAGGCATTTCAAATATTTGTCAGGTGTGGATGCACCGCACACACTGGAACGCTCCGTCCAAAGTCGGCCTGTTGGTTTGCAGGGGCAACCGGCACAGAAGGCTTGGGGAATAACTAAGCCTGGGCAAGTATCTACGTTCCATTGTTCGATAGAGTGCATGTGTCGGCAGTCCCAAATCGCCAACTGCTGATTTGGACAAATCGTAAGCAGTCAGTGCGCGCTGGAGCCGACAGAATGAACATAGGTACAACTTGAAGGAAATAACTATAACCGAAATAAGTTCCGACCTGATATGTCGACTTATCTTTTAGGCATATCAGGTCGGAACTTATTTCGGTTATAGTTATTTCCTTCAAGTTGTACCTATGTTCATTCTGTCGGCTCCAGCGCGCACTGACTGCTTACGATTTGTCCAAATCAGCAGTTGGCGATTTGGGACTGCCGACACATGCACTCTATCGAACAATGGAACGTAGATACTTGCCCAGGCTTAGTTATTCCCCAAGCCTTCTGTGCCGGTTGCCCCTGCAAACCAACAGGCCGACTTTGGACGGAGCGTTCCAGTGTGTGCGGTGCATCCACACCTGACAAATATTTGAAATGCCTCGCCGCCATATTGAAATTCCAAACATTCCTCCCCAGGTTTGACACTTATTTGGCTTTGCCCACGGCCCATTTTGTCCCCGATCAAACACCGTCAGTTGAGCTATCATCCGCACTGAAAGGTTTCTAAAGCTTTATTGAGGTTTCTGCAGGCCCCGTAACACATGGCTGGATCGGGCATAAAGCATCCTAGGATGGTGCCCCTGACCCTCAGGCAGCAGTAGTGTGTACACACGGAGAACTTTGCCCAAGATCGGCATTGTTGTACTGAGCAAAAGTTTGAACTCAATCATAAACGCAGGGCTGCTCTGTGCCCATCAAAAGAGGTCAACTCCACTTCCAGCAACTTGAAAGCTGAAATAATAGTGGTTCCAAGCAGTTACAAGGACATACGTCCGTCCACAGTGTTCCCGCTTTGGTGTCGCATTGCTGGTGATACGACACACAGCTGCAAATACTAACAAGTTTGTTTATATAGACAACTACCGAATTTAGTGGGGCCACTAGCTTCGCCCGTGTACACCGCTCACACGCAGTTGCCTTCCTCCAATACACACGTGGTCCCGCTCCAGCTTTTTGAGTTCCTCCTGTTTCTGGCCCTGCCAAGTGTAATAGTTGTGGTGTCCAAAACCAAGGGCATTAGAGTTACACGCGAGCAGGTTTCGAACCAACTCAGAAGACACCTCAAATGTCGGTATTGTGAAACACAATTTTCCTGTCAGGTAGTTCAGGTGAAATTCCGGTTCAAAGAATGTATTCTTTACGTCTAACCGCAGTCTATTCTACAGTTTTATCACTTTCCTCCTATGAAAACATCTTAAATTTCTCTATGGCTATACGCGCGACCCGTTACGGACAGAACTTATGCGTTGATCGTCGTCCAGAGAATCGTTACCACCTGAGTTGGCCCCGGAGGCTTGCCGAAGTAAGTCGTGTTGTTAACCAAATTCCTCCGTTCCTCGTCAAGGTTTCCAGCGAGGTTCTATTTCAATGTTCCACTTGATTACCGTGAGTTGTTTTTCCGTAAATCGGCCCCCTAGCCACCCGATGGACACTGACCACTTTATGGAAGGATTTGGCTGGCGGTGCAAAGTACGCTTGTTGAAATCTTCCTCAATCATTGTCACACCTGCCCTGTTTAGAATTTGTGATCTGTTTTCGTCTTTCTCCAAATAAACACGGCAGATATCGACCACTACATCTGAAGACTTGTTTATGTCTCGCTCATGTGTGCCGTGGCATCTTTTTGTGTTGATCTTTTGCCAAGTGAATTAAACTGGCTTCTGGTTCTTGTTGGTAGCCGTTGTGGTCGTGCACTTCAGGTTTGTGCATAATTTGCCCGCGTACAGTTTGGTAATCTCATACCGTAGAATTTACTAGTCAATCTTGCTTTGGCTTTGAGATTAGGTATTTTTGACTAGAAATTACCCTTAATCGGAATAAAGTACCACTCAATAAAGGCTACAGATGGGCAAAAAGCTTATATATTTCAGAAACCTCACCTGCCAGCCCACTCTCCCGAACTGATGCATAATCATCCTTTACGGCTCCCAACAGAAGCTCCCTATATACCCTGCGAGGAAATCAGCGCAGAAAAGCTGACTGTAATGACAATTGTAATCAAGTTTATCAAGCCCCTAAGGATAGGTGGTATTCATTTCGCAGTGATGGAGGAGGTGGTTTACGCAATAACTCAGCCAGTCCAAGGCTGTTCAGCGCACCATTATCAATGGAAGGCTGCAAGTAAGTGAAAGGAATCCATTGGCTTCCCGGAGTAATGAGATGAGGGGAGGCCGACGCCGTCAAATAGCAACCTATCATCATATGGTGGTCGAAAAGTAAATGAGACACGTACCTTTCATCCGACCCTGCGAACACAGCTGGAAACATTTCATTCATGAAATAAAACATGGCTTTCGGAAAAACAGCTTGGTCCTGACAAACCTGCCACTACCACGGTGACAGAAGATAGAGACGGAGGTCAGAAGACGCATTAGGCATGTAACCGCTATGGTCCTTAGCAAACACTTACCACGAAGTTTCGCTTGAATGCATTACAGGTAAGCCCAAGGCTTTCGGAGGCCTTCGGGAAAAGATTCTCGCTATGCGAGAAGCAAGGTCATTGTCGACGTGGAAGGCGGCTGCCGGCGGTGTAGCGCAGGTATCAGTGTAAGGCCTGACCTGCATATTCCAACAAGAATAAGTAGTACTCCTAATCTCACCTTCATGCACAGGCTTTCCAGTTTCACTGTTCTTGTCACACAACATTTTTGACCGTGATCACAAAATTGGTGCGGCCGCCTTCTTTCCCGTTTCTAACCAATTGACCATGCCACTTACAGAAATCCACTCGGAAGTCTGACTGTGATTTATTACCTTCGCTTCCTGTCACCGCGATGGGGGTGGTTTCTTTCTCGACGATGACTCACAGCAGGATGAAAATAATTCCTACTCCGACCTCGCCGAACTTCTTCCATGTATTCCCATTGGTTGTCTAGATCCACAAACAGACTGGAACTCTGTGTCACTTAGGAAAGATCCAAGTCTTCTATAACTGCCTAAAGCCAGAAACATCGACCATCCAACTAAGCCCCAAAGAATAATACAAGGCGACAAGATTTTTTCCCCCCGTGCTGATACAGCCAAAGCTTTCATTACGCTTCTTGCTCCTGCTACGATCCCAGGAGCGAGTTGTGTTCCATCTGCCGTCCCCACGATTGAAGACGGTTCTGCTTGAGCGACGACATTTATTGAAAGACAGCCACTCAACTATTACACATTTTCACACCATCCGTTTATCCCGGACAAGGCTGTTTACTGCCTTTCGCTTGGCTGGAAAGTAAAACTAGTCATCATGTTCTGTTGCAAGGTGCCTTCACGCTTTGTTTGCAATCTGAAGGCTTACCATTCTCTTGGGAATTCTTGGCCATAAGCCTACGTCGCACAAAGGAATCTACATACTATGCCGCTGGCTGTCGACCAATAAATCATGCACTCGTTATTTTAGGGGGAATGAAGAAGATCATTAGGGCAATTTCAGCTACCTATCTGATCAGTAAAGTGTGAGTCATGGGAAGCACAACTTCATGCAGTCTTGCTCATGTTCGGTCTGCAAACCTGCCCCTTTAAATCCCACCAAGACTGCAACTTGTGAAGAAATGGCTCCAGTTTTACTGATTCCCTACAGGGCGAACGCGTCGTATCACGTCTATTATTTTCATCTTTCAGATAAAACACTTGCCTTTATACCACTGACCCTTTTCTCGCATGGCTATTTTTCCTATTCAGGCCGGAGTTCGCGGGCTGTACTGACTGATGGCTGAACGTCAAACTCCCGGCGTGCATAAGATGGTTACTTGAAGTGACTTGACTGTTCAGGGCAGTGTCCTGAGTTTGCCTGTATTTCTCGTACATACAAACGATATTCTTACCACCATTGTTCGTAATACGCCTTTCGCCTTTGCTGATGGCTTAGCGATTGTATACGTGTTCATGCCCCATCTAACTAGCCCTGCTCTGGTTAACGTATCTAATGTCCTACTTTCCGTCGGCCGCCGGCGCTCTGAGTGGGCTATGGTATTGTCATCTGGTTAGTTCTTGGTAATTTCTGGGAGATGCAACGTCATTCCTGGACCCCTGTCTATTGTTGGCTCATCAATAACTATTAGCACTATAGTGCTGGCCCACGGACCACATACGGGTCAAGTCAAGTCACGTTGTATGACACTTCCGAAAGTGACGAATTCCAAGCTGGGAAAGCTAGGAAATGTATAGATCTTATCTTTATATGCCTCTTTATTTTAGGAAGTGTCCCTAGTGTTTGTGCTTCCCACACAGGACTGATTCTTGAACACTGCCCTTCAATTTTCTTTGACGACACACGTTTATCAGGCTGCCTGTCGACTACTTGCAAAGAAATTTACCCACACAGCTTCCGAGACGATCCATGCCCCTCAGTTATATAGAGCGTTGTATGCTGTTAAGCTTGACATCTTTCTGGTTTCGGGGCCTCAGGATGAATATAATTCTCCTCTACTACCCTTTAATACCATCACTTCCAACCACTCCACCACCATTTTTCTAGGATACCCCTTTCCCCTCTTTTTGGACATCGTACTCTTTCAAACCTAGTCCTCAGGTGACCACACTTTCCCCATTTTATTCCTCATGTACTCCATGCTTTCAAATAGGCTGCCTATTCACAAACGTTTACCTACTTCTAAGGCACATTTCACCCGCACAATGAATAAGTATATCTAAGTGGCTGCTGCCACAAGTCGACCTAATATGTACTTATTCCTCACATCCTCTCATCTTTTATCCCATAGCCACGGCACGGTTAATAATAGTATTGAAGTCTTGAAGTACTACACGGGTTCGAGGCTTTGAGCCCAATTGTCCCGGTTCTTGACATGAACGGACATTACCCATACCCCGACTTCTAAAATGTTCTCGGGTTTCGCCTCTAGAGGACACCTAGTCAGCACAGGTTGACATTCATCCACTCATTCTTCTCCCCTTATCGGACCTTGCCATATTACACTTTTGATTCGCATACGGATACCTAGCTTGCAATTATTAATCCAGTTCAAAGCTCCATCAAGACAATACTAACCCGCTAGGCGTCACCTGACTTTGACTCACTATTACGCCTGGGGCTCAGAGTTTTGAGATAGCTCCCCACCATCAATCTGCTCCTCATACAATGCCTTATTTTTTTAAGCGACACTCACCTGCGATTGATCAAGAAGTTGTTTCATCCGGACCTACAACCAATTTTCTACCGAAACCATTCTCTCCCTTATTTACCAGTTTTTGGCATACTAAATCTTATGATCTTTACTGTTCATCGGTTCTCACTTTCAGCTTGCGCCTTTCGACCGAAAATCGTCGGCTTATCTGTCTTAATCACCCGTTGCCACTGCACTAGCTAGCGGTCAACCTCTGCAAGGCCAGTGGTGATACCTTTCCACCAACTTCGTCGTGCCAGTGAAGTTGTCCTGCATATCAAAATCGGCGGTGCATTCACCAGATGGCTCGCATATATACTGGAACCCGTTCGACTCTGTTATTGGCAAGAGCAAGCTGTTGAGTGGTAGCCCCATGAATGCTGCCATTATCTGAGTGATT